ATCATCACTAATATGTGTGTCTTTCTGACCTACTCCATAAATGATATTGCAACTATGGAAGTATCCAAATGTAGAGAAGCATTTTATGTAATCATAGTTTCTAATGGCTTGAGTTTTTTTCTCCCCTCAAATTAGTTTGGCACAGTAGTTAAAAGACTTGGGGGGGAAGGGGCGATTCTTGACTTTACCACTTATTATCTATGTGTTTCTAAGCCTCCATTTCTTTACCTATAAGAAAAATGACTATACCTATGAGAATGCATATAAAGCACAAAGCCTCATATTTGGGAGAGAAAAATACATTTATACACAGTTTCAGGTTCTGATACCAAAATGAAAAGGAATGCACTGTAAAACAAAGAAAGATTCCGTAGTTCTCAGAGCCATCTAAATGATTCTTCGTGCTCCATTAGTTCCTGGATATCAATGATTCTTTGGTTATGTACACAGAGAATGAAAAGTGTAACTCAGGAACAAGAGTTAAAAGAAACCTAAGCTCTGAATCCTAAGCAATTAATTTAAGGTCCAAACACTCACAATAACCTAGTTAACAGCTGACACCATATTCATGGCAAACAATAAGAGAATTCCCAGATAGACTGATAAAACTCAGTTTAGCAACACTGCCAGCAATTACCACCAGTGTTTGAGTTGGATAGAAAACAAACTGTAAAAATAAATCTGTGAGATGATACCACTATCACTTGTTCTATATGATGACAATTATAAAATAAATTTTATAAATCATAAAACAGAGCATAATAGAAAGAAAAACTTTGATTTAAGTTATAGTATACCAATCTTTCCCTCTCCAAAGAAAGCATTTTAAAACTGCAGTCTGTTTGAATAAATAGGTTGGAAACATTAAAAATTCTGCTGGAAATCCAAATAGATTTTATCCAAGTTAACACTATTAAAATATCTATTTATATCCTTTGAAATAAAATTCGCTACTAAATCAAAATAATTTTATCAAAGTCAAAGTGGGCATATTTACACACCAGATGGGTCTAAGTGGACTAGACACTGCAAATAAGAAACTAAGGTGAAAAGATGAGCTGTGTAGCTTACTAAACTATTCATGAGGTAACAGTCTTTTGACAACTTCAAAGACATATTTTCAAAGGTGTTGTTTTCTCTCAATTATTTTCATATGAGCCTGATCCATTATCAGTTATAAAAACACAATTAAACATTTTTAATGTAAATAATCCTAAACTTAGAGAAAAGTTGTCAGAATACTGCATAGAACGTATTTTTTCCTTAATCATTTACTGCCATTATGCTCTTAAAGCCCCAAATATTCTATTGGTATTAGCTACAAACAAGGATCTTTTCCTAAAGAATACCAACTTAACAAAGTTTAAAAATTAACACTGAGGGACTACTTACTACCTTGTAACCCTCAGATTCCCTTCACATTTTATCAACTGGACCACTAATGTCCTTTAGAGCAAAAAGGTCCCGTGCAGGCACATACATTGCATTTCTTTAACTTTCTTCAACCAGAACAGATCCCAGTTTTCCCTTTCTCGCATGATATTGATGTATTTGAAGATTACAGGCTATTTTGTAGACTGTGTCTTAATTTAGGTTTGTCTGATGTATCTTTATAATGGGACTTGTTATATATACATTGCTGGTAAGAAGATCCTAGAAGTGATGCTGGGTTCTTCTCACTGCATTCTATAAAGCGTCCACAGGTCTGATTTGACCATTACTGATAATACTAACTTTGACCACTTGACTAGGTGGAATCGCCAAGGCTTCTCCAATGTAAATTTACTTTTAAAAAATATTTTGTATGGAGATATTTTGTGTGATTGCACAAACATCCCAATCCTCATCACTGATTTTATTCCTTTATTAATATAAACATAATATGGATTTATTTTACTCAATGGGTTATAATTTATAACTATCATTTATTTTGATATCCAGATTAGCCTAGTCTTGGCCAGCTGGAGCCTCTTCAAGCTGGCTCTATATTCTGTTGACACGTTCCCACAATTCTTCAAGTAATTCCTTACTTTCTATACCTTAAGATGCCCCAGGTTCATCCTACCTTTTCCTGCTCCAGCTATAGAATCTACCATACCTCCAAAAAGATCTAGTTCCTACATCCTCTTCCCAAGAGCCTCCCGAGACCAGAAGAAGTAGGCTTCTCTCTCATTTCTTTGACCTTCCTAACTCCAGCTTCGTGGTTTCATTTCACTAGTGAACATGGTATATCTTCTTTAGAAGAGGAGAGAACATGTACTACTTCTTATGCACTCATCTTAAAGGCTAACTGGTTGGTGAATCTCTGAAGTAAAGTGTGAAATGATTTAAAATCAAGCAAACTTAAGACCGACAAGTAATGTAATGCATAAAACTACCAATTTCTACAATGTTCTACCCTGTACAATTTTAAAATCACAGTAAAAACTCTCTTGATTGCCTCTCTTCTCTAAATTGACATGCTATATTCTAACTGAATATGCTATACTAGACACTTTGAACTGTGTAATGTAGTAGTAATTGTTAAACTCTAAGTTTTCTCGCTGAAAGTATCTATGATCAGATTCCCAAGTGTTAGACTGAAGATAAACAATAAGGAGATGTATTCTTTACAACTAATGGATCAAGTCATGGCTCATCTCTCTAAGGGGGACTGATGAAGCTGAGTCACTAGTGAAACACTTGCTTTCAAGCACATTACTTGGTACATTAATGTGGCCATAATATTATTTGAACAGAGGTAGTCAATCATTTTAAGGAAAACCAGCAGAACATATGATCTGGCTTGACAATGCACAAATTTGTGACAGTAATATGCTTTCTTTAAAGAATTAAATTAGGAATGGAAAATCATGGGGTTACACACATGAGAAGAGACACATCATTTTCTAAATCACTTAAAAATGTATATGCTGGTAAAATACGTGGAAGTTTTCACTGTCTGATAACTATGTCCTGAGAAATAAAAAAGAGATATATTGTATACATTATATCAGTGCTTCTTGGAACAGTATTAATTTAGCATGAAATTATGAGCAAGGGATTTTCAAATGGTTTTGAACTAATTCTCTTAACAATGCTGTGCAATAACTATTATAGTACGTAGTCATTTTTACAAAGGAGCTAAGGCTCTGGGAGATACCTGCCCCAGATAACACAGCTAATATAAGGCAACTCTGAGTTAAAATAGATCTGTAAGTTAGCACAAATTTAACTATATTGTCAAAGTGGCATGAAAAACGAAAGAAAGTCAATAGAAAATGGAAATAAAAGTTAAATTATGTTTCAAAAAAAGATTATTAAAGAAATAAAAGGAAAAGATAGAAATGAAGAGCTCAGATAACTTAGAAATGGAGAGAGAAGGAAAAGATAAGCTGTGGAAAATAGCATGCTGCTTAGGCTCAGGGTATAAAATAGGAAAATTGCCTGCTTTCTCATGGATATTCTAGTACTGTATTATATTGATATAAATTCAGTTTGGAAACTGTTTTCAAATTTGAAGAACTTCTTTCTATTCAGCATATGCTCTTTCAGATATCAGAAAACTCAGTGTATAATACATTTAAGTATAAAATGAAAGACAAAATGCTTTGTTTCATGAAGCTGCAGTAAGGGAAACTTATAATAAGGTAGGCTCAAAAAGAAGTGCCAACCTCCAGTATTTTTATTTAATAATATTAACCTTCCACTGACTTCCTTAGGTTCTCGAGGATCTAAGTAAATCTTAACAGGCAAACAAAACATTTTAAAGCTAGGAACCTACTAGCATCAGGAAAGAACTAAATAACTCCACAAAGTGGAGTAAGAATGGTAGAGGGGAAGGGAAAGCCATACTGCTTAGAGCAGGTGAGAAGCTGGACCAGGTGTAAGAGGGTGTTCACATAGGGGAGTTGGTGTCCTGGCCTGGGGGTGAGGAGAGTGTCTGTGTAGGAAGGTAGTTTGGTGCAGGGCATTGGAGCACAAGCAGGAGGAAGAGGGTGTCTCCATAAAAACACAGTCTGACTTCAGGTGAGGAGGGAGTCTTTGTGTAGAGTGCAGGGAGAGGGAGAATGTCAGGGGGAGATGTCTGCATAAAGGGACAGAGCCTGAGCTCAGTAAAAAGGACTCCATGAAGAGGGCATCCTGACAAGGGATGTCAGGGCCCAGATGAGTGAAAAGGGTACCAACACAGGGGCAGGCACTGCAGAGCTGGCCTGGAGTCAGTGTAAAAGCCTGAGCTGGGTGAGAGAATGTTCATTCAATGAAGGGGAGAGTAACAAATTTGGTTACAGAAAGGAGCACTGATCAAAATAAGCAAAGATACTAATGATACCTAGAGCCAGTTTTCTCATTGTCAGAAAAAGGAGTTACTAAAATGGAAAAAAAGAGAAAACGAGAACAAACCTTGAATTATTGAATTAGAATGATAAGTATCGGTGTCAACTTATGGTTTTCAAAACAGACATATATGTATGATCAGGAATATAAATGCAAATATGTATATATGCATTTATGAGTGTACATACACACATGCAGTGTTTGTTCCCTAGCTCTTTCCACCGAGAGGCTCTGGGAACAGTAATATTCTATAATAATGAGCATATCACTATACCATTCTCAAAAAAAAAAGTTGGGTCAGGTGGAGTACAGAATGAGCATGGAACATCTTGTGACATGGAAGGACAATATTAGGACAAAAGGGGAACTTGGATAGTGTGTGAAATTAGACGTAATTGGTATCAACATCTTGATTTTAATGGTTTCTCGGAGAAAAATCTTTATTTCTAAGAAACACACATTAAGATATCTTGGAAGTGATGGGGCTTCAAGTTAGCATCTTCCCTTCATATAGTTCAGAAGAAAAGTTCTTTGTATATACTTTTCTGTAAGTCTGAGGTTAAATGGGTGACCAAGGAATGAAACTAAGGACGGTGAAAAGGCAGCTGCCTTTAACTTAGCTGCCTTTTCACCGTCCCTGTTTCATTCCTTGGTTACCCTCTAAAGGCAGAAGAAGTACTTACTGAGGTCTTCCGCCAGCTGAACTCGTTTACCAGTGAGCAACTTCACCTTCTTCTCACCATCTTCAGCAAAATCTTCCAGCACCTCTTTAACATTTTTCTCTAATCGCCTGACTGTCAAAGTAAATAAAAAAACCTGAGGAGCACTGTTTTTATGAGTGGACAAGGATATGAAATTAACAATACGTGCAGTAAGTTCTTATTTTTCTCAATGCATTAGATCAATTAAGTTCAGACTTCTCACAGTTACAGGGAGAATATTTACCTATTATTCAGTGCTTTTTACAGCATAAAACTAATATATTTTCTAAGAGAGTCATATTCTCAAGCTCTGACACTTTAATAGATGTACAGATTTCTCAAAAAATCTAAGTGATGCTTAGGAGTCCTTTTGTAACAGAGTTTTTCTGTAATCAAGAGAGACTCCTAATATGTTTTATCTCCATTCTTTCCAATTATGATTTATTTTCATTAATATTTTAAGGGCAAATAATAATTTTCAGTTTTTCAAATACATCTATCATAAAGGAAGTATTTGGACATGCTATTATAAATGGATGTTATTACTGTATATTTTATGTCAAAATTAGAAAATGGTCCCTTTGTGACTTACCTTCAGTGTTTGTAAGTTGTTGTCTTAAAGTATTTGCTGTGATAGCAAGCATGCGCTGTATTCGCCAAAATAGGACAACATCGTTGCATTCCAACTGAAATATCAGGTAATTAAGATTACCAGATGCAAATTTAAACATAAATTTGATCATAAATACAGACAACTACTAAACAAGGGCCTATAGCCTAAGCTTTAAAAATACGCAGATTTACCTAACGTATACGTATATTCCTATTGTAGATAGAAGATACTGAATAATTTCTGCATAGGATCCATCAAATTCTGCATGATTTGGGTTCTACCTATCACATACCTATATAACTTTGCTTTAATTCCAATAAGAAAGCAAATAAACTTGGGAAATAGTGCATTTCATTGCGTTTTATACAAATAGAAATCCACAGCATATTATGACCCTTAATTTGTATTTAGTTTCAACACATAATCATGTTAAAGTATGTCCTTAGGTTAGCCTCTTTTCTTTTGAGTGTATTCTCCAGAAATATTTGAAATTCAGCTGTATATGAAAACTGATATGTTTTTAAAAATAAATTTATTCTGTAGAGAGGTCTTCTCAACTTTTAAAATTATGAAAAAAACTTGCCACCTTTTACATAGGTGCATTTAATTGTAAATTTATTTTAAGCTGCTGAAAGTTCAAAAGGAAAGCATTTTAGGGGGCTCAAATAAGATCACTGATCAATACAGCATTTTCGGGATACATTTCAAAACATTTCTGCTTGTAAAAAAATGCTCAAAATACATCTGTTTGCTGCCACCTACAGGCTACTTTGTAAAATGTGACATTAAGCTACAACTATCCATTCCAAAAACTTTATAGTGATTTAAAATAATTATTTAAAGGAAGATTTTAGTGATAGAAAGAATTACAACCTAATATAGGAAACTAGCACAATAAAAACTGTTTTACAGTGTTATTTCCACTTGCAGTGGATGACTGTCTTATACACATACACACACATACAACCCCTGCATAGAAAGAGTTGAACAAAAAAATATATAAAAATGTTAGAGAAGCAATCCATAGATGGAAGACGGTGATGATGCCTTGCCATAATAGCAGTCAGCAGCTGTGTATCATTGCAGGTTGCCCAGGACCAAACCAGAGAGGGTCGGACCTGCATTACCACTATTTGTCCACCATCCAGAACTGAAATATCATTGCTGATATATACACATAAGGAACTGTTTGACATTGAAATTGGGCCTCAGAAGAACTGTTGGCCCAGAAAGAAACTCACTAAAGACTGATTTATATGCTTTTCAGCATAACATTATTGCTTGTCTCATTTTCAATTCTTATATTTCCAGTAGGACATGATCTCACTCATCTAGGGGAAATGGTGAACAACATAGACTGATGAACAAGAACAGACCCAGAGATAAGGAGCCATGGGTCAGACTGTTGGACCTCAAAGGGAGGGTGGGATAAAAGGGAGAGATCAACCAAAGGACTTGTGTGCATACATATGAGCCTAACCAGTTGTTAAGGACAACAGGGAGGTAAGGGCATGAGTAGGGAGGGGGGTTATTGGAATGGGTATTGGAATTGAGGACAAATATGTGATACCTTAATCAGTAAAGAAATATAAAAAAAGTTAAGTAAAATTACTTTTAGGTGAAGGGTTATAAGGGACTATTTCCTTTTGCATATCTTTTACATTTATTTATTGAATTTGCTTTCTATAATGGGAATGTATTATTTTATAACAGAAGAAGTTAATTCTTAAAAAATATTTTAAAGTGGTTTACTGCCTATTACATGCACACACAATCTTACACTGGGATGATATGCATGTAAGATGCAAAATGGTAAATATCTTTGAAAAGATAGAGGCTAGGTTACTCTTTATAAATCACACATTTTTTCCCCAGAAGATCAAAAGACTTAAAATTAATGCTAAAGCTAAAGTTTACTTTTAAACATCTAAAATATTATTGCTATAAACCTTTCTACTTGCTTTTGGAAACCTTACCTCAGAATCTACAAAATGCCTTTGATAGTAATAAAAGCCTCTTCGACACAGGTTACAGTGGTTTAGAGCTGTTTTTAAGAAATGTCTTCTATAAACTTGGTGCCATGTGTCCTTAATCTAATGAAAAAAGAAGATAAACCAGAGTTATTATACCCTTGTTAAGTTAATCAAACACATTCTGAAAAGTCACCTACAAAGCTTATTTATATTAAAAAAATTAAAAACAATGGCAATGTTGTTATTCTACCAACTTTTATCCGTTAAATTTTTTCAAGACAAAGATTAGATTTACTACTAGTCTGTCCCCTTACCGGTTTATGTACTTCAAAATTTGCAGTATTTTTTAACAAGCATTGATGTTATAGTCAAATAATCATCTTGTACAGTAGCTAAAGTAGGGATTATCTTCCCATAATTCAAGGTAAAGATTCCAAGGCAATAAGAGGTTGTGAGCCTTGGACACAGTTAGGATAGAAGGTGGTATCAGACCATGTTCATCAACCAACCCAACAATATTTCCTTTCTGATTATTAAATTTCAGTTACCACATCACTATGATCCCCCATCCCTGTTATTGCTATTACACTCTGTTAGTGTTCAAGGTTTTTTCATACAACTCTTTTTTTTTTAAAAAGCATAACAATATTAAGTAGATAGAGTAAATATCATCACCATCATTTGACAGGTGAAAAAAGGGGCTCAGAGAGATTATATCAATTATTAAAGGTAATATTACCAGCGAATGGAATGAAACTGTTACTAGAATTCACATCTCCTGACATCTAGTCGAACCACTATTCGTCAGAGTACTTTCCTACCTTTTTGTTAGCTTCATAAAGTGCACTGAACAAAGTGCCTCCTGGAAAAAACCCTGAGATTTTCTTGCTCACAGAAAGTGATTAAGATAAGCAGCCAATCCACATCCTACTTATGGACAAAGTTCCTCCCTTTGTATTTACAGCCACAGAAAACTTAGAAGTATCAAACTGGATACAACTAATTATTAATGAGAACTAGGACAATGTGGATAAATTAAATCTATGTTCATCCAATCATTAGTCTTAATTTCATATATATATAAGCCTAAGTGACCATTAATGACTAAATGACCAGTCGACCAGTTGCTATGATGCGCACTGACCACCAGGGGGCAGAATTTATATGTGGCTCTGAAATTTTATATGACTGTACCACTAGAATTACTTTTCTCATTGGGTTTCACTTAAGCTAACTTAAGCTAATATTAAAGTGAGGTTTTGATCCTTTACACTCTAACTAGAAAACACAGGCCCAGAAACACTTCTATTCTTATATTCCCCAAATAAACATCATGAAGGAAAGCAAAAATTAGTCTAAACTGTAATTATTTTTAACCTCAGATTTATTATAAGAGAGGGAAAAGAGAATCCAAAGGCATTATCCAACAAGAAACAAAAATTAAGGAAGCAACTGCATGCTTTCGGCATATTTATTACCAAGCTTGGATCGACGTCTACTCCTCGGGATTCGAGGTTCTTCCGGACTGTAGTTATCTCATCACTTGCAAGATAGGCTGGGTGTTCCTCATTACATTTCAACATTTTCTCCAATTCACTCTTGGTTTCGTTGTGAACACACTTTAAAATGTTTCAAAGAAGAAAGTATTTAGTTGGTTCATGATTCGGCATACTTGTAAAAACAGAGTCCCAATTTTAATAAATATATTACTATTGCATAATAAATGACAGAAGTTCAATCACAACAAATAAGAACGTACACAGTGTCCTGGCTTATGCATGCAGAACTATGAATTATGAGAGGCAAAAATAAAAAACTTTTTTTAGCCTTATTTGTTTTATTTTACTTTTGCTGAAATATTTTACACAGAAAGAGAATATTCTATAAGTGTTTTATAGCTAATAATTATATGACTGTAAGGACTTATACCTCTTGACATGTTTCTTTCACAACAAATTAAATATAAAATTCATAGTGAAATTTTTAAATAGTCTTTTCATTAAAATATCTTGCTTTAGATTGCTTCTGTAAGGTACCCATTATCTTAGATTCATTTCCAGTTTCTTCTCTATAATTGTTCACAATCTCTTCATCAAAGGAGGAAATGTATACATACAGGTGAAAAATTTGAAAATATGACTCTCATACAGTATGAAATTAAGTTCTTTTCATTTAAAATATTTTATTTATTATTTTAGAGAAAGAGAGGGAGGGAAAAAAAAGAGAGGGAGGAAGGGAGGGAAAAAGGGAGGGAAGGAGAAAGAGAAAAACATCAATTTGTTATTCCCTTTATTTATGCATTCATTGGATGATTCTTGTATGTACCCTAACCAGGAATTGAACCCTCAATCTTGGCATATTGAGACGATGCCCTAACCAAATGAGCTACCTAGCTAGAGCCTATCTCTTCATTTTCAATCCTTCTTTTAAAATTGCATGTGTAAAAAAGCTTCAAATTTACTGATTAAACAAGTCACTACCACAGAACTTAGCCCAAGCTATATTAAGCTACAGAATCTGAACATTTGTACAAAAATACCACTTGAATAAAACAATTAGCTTGTAAACAGAACTATTAATTAACAGTCTCTGAAAACATGCATTTTAGAAGAAATATTATTTAATATTTCCTTAAATATCTGCTATTTAGTCTGAGGTAGGAAGGAAATCTCTATGATTTTCCTCAACTTTTCCTGTTCTGTTTTTACTTCCACCTGTCCATCTGTCCTCACTTCACTTGGTCTTCAGGACAACACTCCTCTCCCACCTATACTGACCAAGATCTGCATTAGTTCAGCTTAGGCAAGGTGAGAATTTTCAGAAGTAACATCAAAAAAAGCACATTATAGTTTTCAGAGCATGGATTTATCACCTTTAACACAGAGCAATCTTGAGTTTCTTTTCCTGCTAAATCTGGTCACTCAAAAAGACAAAGTATTATACCCAGCTGCCTTAAACTTGCAATGTAAGGCCCAGATACATTATTAATCTCCTTTCTAATGTTTCTCACTGTAATTTCCAGGTATGAGGTTCAGAACAGTGTTTTTAATGTGGGAGTGGGAGGGTTAGCAAGATTAGAGGCGAACTGGACAGGGGTCTGATGGGAGGCTTTGTTTTGAAAGAATAAACAAACACAAATTCCTCCCAGGTGATTCTCATGTCCCTCCCCTCTACACTTTAAATTATGGCTTTTGTTCTAAAGTCACCCTGAGTCCTACACCTTCTGCCCTGAAACCCTCTTCTAGGGAGGATTTCTATATTCTTCCTCTGGGTTGCAGATCCTTGTACTGCCCTTAAAACTAATTCCTCTGCTTCTCTTGCAGAGATTCACTATGGGTTGAAGTTCCTGAGGAAAAAAACCCAAAAACTTACACACAGGAATCATTTCTAAGAGTGTTTGGCCAAAGCATATTTACCACAAGTTGCTGCATTAATTGTCCTGGAGACTCTAGGCCTAGTTCACCAGGACTTGAAGGTCAGACACTGTTTTTCTTTGGTGTTTATTTGCCTTACACCGTTTTTTTTTTTTTTCCCCCCAGTCAATACCCTCTCTTCCCCTTCACTCCCCATTTCAGTCAGAAATTCTGATGGTCCCCAGGGGTTCTTTTCTGACAGACCTCTGTGTGCTCAGTCCATGTGCACACAGAGAAGACTGATGCATCCTGAACTCAGGCATCATCCAACCGGGCACTCTGACCACCTCTTCAGCTTCTCTTTAGTCTCTCTCTCTCTCTCTTTTTTTTTTTTTTAAATATATTTTATTGATTTTTTTACAGAGAGGAAGAGAGAGGGATAGAGAGTTAGAAACATCGATGAGAGAGAATCATTGATCAGGTGCCTCTTGCACACCCCCTACTGGGGATGCGCCCACAACCAAGGTACATGCCCTTGACCGGAATAGAACCCGGGACCTTTCAGTCCACAGGCTGACGTTCTATCCACTGAGCCAAACCGGTTTCGGCAGCTTCTCTTTAGTCTCTTAATGACTCCCTGCCTCTCAAATTTATCCCGGGGAAAAGAGGAACTGTCCCTTCACTAGACAGGATGCACATCTGATAGATATCTTTATCTTCCTTCTCTAATCACATGGACTCAGGAACAAGAAAGTGGGTTACATGCCACCTCTTTTTCTGACTCATTACTGCCTTCATTCATGTTCTAATCCTATTTACACTTATTTAGGGAATGAACAAGAATGAGACAGTGGGGTAAGACTGAATGCTAGCTAGGAAAAGAAGCCACAACAATAAGGAAAAATTAAAAAGGATGGGGGTTGGATACTTAATAATTTACCCATTTTCCCTCTTTTATTTATTGGCAAAGTTTACACTTGTCTTTACCAGTTTGTTCTTCTGAAGTGATCATTAAATGTAAATAAATGAATTCTATAATTCTGCCTGTTTCCTGTCTGAATTTTTATACTTATTTTGTGAACATAGAAACAACAAAGTAAAAAAATATATATATATACTAATTTGAATAGACAACTTATAAAAAAAATCCAGAGATAATATTATAGAATAAGGTTAAAAAAAAAAGTCTTTATATTTCTTATTTTAATCATATTCATTCTATATCCTCTGAAACCTTTGACATTCTTTTCCTTTCTTCATAACTATATTCTTCAATTTACCTCATACAGGGAATTGAAATGAACAAAGCAATCAACCACAATAGGAATATGCTTCATCTTCCCTTTCTTTTAATAAACAGCTACTTATAAAAAAAAAACTTGCATTCATAGTTTAATGTTTAATCTAAAGATTTTATAATATATTTTAGAAAGGCTGACATAAACATTTGAAATTATTAAGACTGGTTCAGAGACATGCGTGGGTTACATTTTACTGCTTGAACTAAAATGACCAAAATTGTATCATCATAAGGGCAGAGATTTGTTTTCACCTGTTCTTGGGTCCGATTCTTCCAATACAGCCACCTCTTTTTCCAATCTGGACCCACCATGTTTTCAATTGCATTTTCAGCTAAAAGATTGAAAGAAAAGTTTAAGTTGATCATGCATTTTATCATTTACCAAGCACAGAAGTTACAACTAATAATATTCTTATTTTCGAAACTACTTCAAAGTGATACAAGAAAAAATTATATGATTGACAGGATGCATATATAAGAAATAATTTAATTTACATGTTTACAAGCAATGAAAAGTACAATTCATTATCAAGTTCTCATAAGTATAGAAGCAAACACTAGAATAGTTTGAATACAGCTTTTTAGATTATCAATACTTGTTCTAATTTACTTAATATTTTTAGGAGTAACTAAGCAGTCCACTAAAAAAAATCCCACAAATAAATCTTCAACTACAGTATTAATAACAAAGACCTTGAAATATTAATTTTTTAAAAATTACAAATATTCTCTGAAGTTGGATTATTCCTTCATCAGAAACTATTCAAAACTCCATAACCCCGTCCCTACTTACTATCCTTGAGACGAGCCTGAAGAGCCTCTTCCATGAAGTAAATAGCTGCGTCCCACTGCTGCTTATCAGATATGGACCGGTCTTCTAAAGCGTTGTGTTGAATAACCCTCTGAAACAACAAGGGAAGAAAAAAAATCTAATATGATTTGTGTCTTATCATTTAGTAATTTTATTCAAATTGACAGCTTAGCAAATATCCAAAATAACTGATGTTTCTAAAATGACAAAAAGCATGTCCCTGCCACACAAATGCAGGAGGTCCTTGTATCTGCCTATTTGTCAGCTTTCTGTCTAAAAAAACAACAGTGGAGAATTTTTCCTAGCCCAAATTAAATGAGCTGACCATCTCTAAGATCATTGTCGGGGGCTGGAGAGGGGCATAGTACACATTTAACTACATAAAATCTAACACCTAGAACCCTAGTATTTAGTAGTTAATGATTCAGATAATCTCTAACTCTCCTTTTTGTCATATGACCTATGTGTTAGCATTTTCAAAAAAGAGAGGATAAAAGTAATAACATTATCTCACTGGTAACAGCATTGAAAAATGTAATGAGGGAATCTTAAAAGTCTAAACAATCACAAGCAAATATTATTTATCATAAAAAAAACACTAGTTATTTTGTAATTGTTGAATGAATGAATGAAAATGGCACTACTCTCTCAGAAAGCCAGTCTTAGTAAGGCGGCTAACAAGAATAAATAATTTTCAAATATGAAGATAAATATTTATTCCAAAAAAATTATAATTACAATCAGCCCACAGTCAAATATGCATTTTCCTAGAAGATTGTTTCAACAGTGCCTCCCATAACTGTCTGAGCAGAATAGGTGCTTAGTAAGGTTTGATTATGATGAGGAGACTGTTACATATAACAAAAGATTTTTGGGGTGGTGGAGCAAGGAGCCCGTGTAGGCAGAAACAGTGATCCAGGAACATGTACCCTGTTTCCCCGAAAATAAGACAGTGTCTTATATTAATTTTTGCTTCCAAAGATGCGCTAGATCTTATTTTCATGGGATGTCTTATTTTTTTATGCGTTAGGTCTTATTTTCAGAGGATGTCTTATTTTCGGGGAAACACGGTAGTTGCCCCAAGGAGATTTGCAGAGAGAATGTTCACGAAGGTGCTATAAAGCAAAATGAGCAACATAAAGTTAACAGAGAGGTATCTCATGGTGACACTGGTGTTTGTCACAAATTATTTGTTGCTCAGAGCCACCCGTGGTAAAGACAGAGATGATAACAATTTCTGATGCCTCACAAAGGACAGAAATCTCCACCAAGAAAGTCCCTGTTGTCCAAACTCTGACCAAAACCATCACATTGAAGTCTCCCCAGATTGATGGCATGGTTGCTGGTGACTTGGGCATGTTACTGACTGCACAACCATCACATCTGATTACGTATCGATAACAACAACCATACACATCACCAAGACTATAAAAGGTGGACTATCTGAAACAAGAATTGAGAAAAGCATCGTGATCATAGGAGATGCAGACAGTGATCAGGACCAGACGCCAGCCCAGGCACAGAGAGAGTAGAACCTGACACATCGGCGACGAGAGTGGTGGTGTTCAAAGAAACGGAGCTGGCGGGCAGGGAAGAGTATGGTAAAGAACTCATTATGAAACAACATTCAACTTAGTGAACCGGAAGAATTCTGACCATTTCAAGTCGTGATGCCACACCGACAATTCACTGAATTTATACTACAGCTGGTAACAATGACCAGAAGCCTGAAGAACTAAAATGCCAGTGCCAAACCTTACCTTAACAGCTCTGGTCTACACGGTTCCCTCGTGTTTCTATACATATTTTATTTTATAAGCACTTCTAAATATTCCTTGGTTCTTTCTATTTCTTCTTTTTAATCAGGGAGTTTGTTTTATTTCCTGTTTACTACCTGCATTACATGACTGATTTGATCCAAACAGAGCAGCCCAGCTGGCAGTGCTCTTCACTGGAACAGGTGCTGTTGTGCACAAAGGAAACTCTGTGACTAATTTGAATCATGGTTTTCCTTCTTCCGGGTTCCTCCCATTGAGTTCCCACTGAATTACAGTAAATATTTACAGAGTTTTTAGACGGCAGTAAATATACTGTATGAGAAATTATTGATATAGATTAAAAGCATTTCTTACATCTGTAAACTTTCCTAATGTTTGACAAATTCATTGAGATATATTTTATATTGAACCCTTTTGACTTTCCTGTCCTTCAACTTTGTACTCTTAGTAGAAACAGAATGTCTGCGGGTCTCCAGACTGGAGAATTACGAAGAAGCTCACTGACCACACTGTGTGTAGAGACCCCACCGCACCACAGTGCCAACTCTTCTCTCTCTCTCTCTCTCTCTCTCACACACACACACACACACACACACACACACACACACAGACACACACACACGCGCGCGCTTTTCAGCAGAGAGGAGAAAAAGAAAAAAATTTCTTCCTTTCTAATAAAATATTCAGGCAGGTTAAAACCTTGGTGCTTCCTTACTTAACATGCCCCGATTTCAGTACTTTCCATTGACTGAATATTTGTGTAGACCACTTGCTATGCACGAAACCTCCTTGTCTACATGTAAAACCGACCTTGTGTTATTGAGCAGGTCTGTCTCTTTCAGATAGCCTGATGATTCACACAGGTTTGAGGACATTGGGGAGGAGTTGGCAGGGACTGTGGTTTTTTTTGATGGTAATGGGAAACCAGACCATTTAAGGTTGATACCAGAGACCTGATAGAGACTTATGAACTGTATTGAACATTTTTTAATTTTGCTTTTGACCCTATATGTAGTTAGGATGCAAGATTAGATTTATAGCAGCTTCAAGTTGTATTAAATGATATTTTGCTTTCAGTAATACTTATAAAGTTGGTTTGGTCTCTAGAAAAAAAAAGAACGGAATAAAAGAATGCTTACAAAATACACAGCAATTTCTGGTAAGCATTCAACACACAGTAGTTAGCATTATGATTTAGGAGTCTAAATTTTATGACTAAAATCCACTGCAAATTAATGCATCTATTTTTTAAAAGAAATATATATTTTATTGATATTTTACAGAGAGGAAGGGAGAAGGATAGAGAGCTAGAAACGTCGATGAGAAACATCGACCAGCTGCCTCCTGCACATCCCCTACTGGGGATGTGCCGACAACCAATGTACATGCCCTTGACCGGAATCGAACCCGGGACCCTTGAGTCCGCAGACCGACGCTCTACCACTGAGCCAAACCGGTTTCGGCAAATTAATGCATCTAACTCCTTACCAGAAAGTAAACTGAGAAGCCGCTAACCTCTATTTAGTTCAGGCTAATGGATGACAACTTGTTGAAGTTTATAAAAGCCTATTTAGTGAGAAGTTTCCTTCTTTTTTCTAAAATGTTAACTAAGCAAGAAATAACAGAAGGCAATTACAGAAGGACAGAGAAATGTCAAAGGGTCAATTATAGATTGTAAATCTATTTCTTTTCCTTATTTTAAGTTCAGAATCTAATTTAGTCATATAAAATGTTTCTTATAAAAGTACCAATTTGAGGAACTACATAAACATATGAGGCTGACACCCTAATATACAAACAACATACCAAACTGTCTTCTGCAAAGTCATTCCACTTGTGGCGTTTGATACTTTCTTCCTTAACAGCCTCTTTCAGTTTATCAAATATGTCATCATGCTCTTTTCCTTTTGGTTCTGTCATGAAGCGGGAAAATTCTTCTTGTAGTGTCTCCCAAGCAACCTAGAATTATTTAAAAGAAAAAGTTATACTACATACTTTTATTTAATGTATAACATGAAAAATACACACATGAACTTAAGTTAGATGTGATAAATCAGCTTATCAGAAAAAACATTTGAAACTGCATTAAGAAAACCATCAACAAATATAAACTCTGGCCTAGACATCTCACACTGGGAGCTGGTGGGATAGATTTGAATTCCTGGCATGTGTGATAGACATTCACAGCGCTTTAAGTTTTTAAAAAATTAAGTTTTTTAAAAATTGAGAGATTTCATATACAAATCTACATTTGCAGGCTCTCTGGAAGAATCTGACACTATTCCCACATTCTCTCCTGACACCACCTGCCAGAGCCGGATAGGAGCTGCCCCCTTAGAGGAGACGGGGACTCTAGCCAACTACCAGGCTTAATTCACTTCATTCTCTACAACACCTGAGTTTGCCTGCTTCTTCCACACTCTAAAAAGTTTAAAATTTCTTAATGATTTAGTCCTCACATTTTTGCCTTTATGAAAGCAATGCATCAATACTTTCAAACATAGCTGAGTATTATACAGTGTTGTGTCATAGCTAACTCCTAATTACATGAATAGTGAAAGGAAGAGCAGTTGTCAAAATGGTATTTTATATTTAGCCCCCTTCATTTCAAACATTAAGAAATTATGGCATAAAGAAAGGTGGCTGGACTAAAATACACAGTGAAGTATTAAAAGCAATGTTTCCTGACCTTCACCAGATCCACAACTTTTACCACACCCAGGTGTGAAGGGCAGAGCTGGCAGGAGACACAATCATTGCCATTTCTATGACCACTTCCACTGCTTGAACCGTAGAATATAAAAATATCCTATCATGAGATAGGATCCAGAAAATGCCAGGGCTGGTAGTGAGGACAGCTAGTGAAGTGGTGGCAGTGCGTTAATTATCAGGGGTAAATGTGCAGAGAACTGGGCAGGGTCAGCAGCACATAGCTGGGGCAGTATGACCACAGAGTTAGAAAGGGAGGCGTAAGGAAATTGAGAACAGCGGTGAAGAAGCTAGATCTGGAACAGGCTAGGAAAGGGGTGAAATACACCTGAATAATCAGAAACTGACATTCTGTTTCTAGGGTAGGTATGAAAAACAAAATTATTTTTAACAGATTCTAATTTCCTGAGCATCCTCAAACAGAAGCACGGAGGCAGACTCTCAGCTGGAACCATCATGCTTCAGAGTGATATGCATGGCTGATCACCTTGAATGGTAGCCATCATGACAGCGCCGGCATTTACTGAACAGTTACTATGGGTCAGGAATTGTCTAAGTATTTTATATTCATTAACTCATTTATTCCTTAGAACAGTCTGTGAGATAGGCAACATTATCACCCCTATTGTTATAGATGAGGAATCAGAAACCTTAAATTACTAGCCCAAGGATCACACAGTTAGTAAGTGGTAGGGTAACAGAAATGCAAAAATTTTAAGGCACTTTCTTATAATTTCTGGTCTAACCTTCTGGCAAGATCCAAACTAAAGAATTAAGTATAATTAAGCCTTGCAGAAAATCAAGAAATAAAATGTTTTATCCGTTAAATATATTCCTTATCCATTAAATCTTTATCCACAAAAGAAGTTAAAAATATTTCACATTTGAAATAAATGCAAATTTTGACAGTTTTGTTAGAAGCTATCTTTGGGGAGGAAAACAGTAATACCCTCAGACCAACACCATATCAATTAGTAAAGATTTATAACAGTAGTAACTGGTAGCAGCATTAAGATTAATCCCAGCACACAAATGGAGTATAAAGACAAAAAGAAAGACAGTGGCTGTGATGGGAATAAAATTTAAAATTCACAGCTCCTACTCCCTTCAGATAATGCTTCTTACCCATTTAATTAAATTATATCCTAACCTCTACTGCTTTATTGGGAAGCTGTTTATCAGTCCACTGTTTGAGCTTGATGTCCACTGTGGTATTAAAAGTTCCTGAATTCATGGTCTGGGCAGCTGGAAGATAGATGTTTTCAATCACATGAGTTGATACTCTTTCCCACAAAGACTGCTGAAGAATTTCCTCCCTGGAATTTAAAAAAGAAAACATTTCAAGAACACCAAATTTAAAAATAATATCAAGTTTTTAAAAACAGCTTTATCACAGTATCATTAACTTACCATAAATCACACATATTTAAAGTGTTGACATATGTATACACTGTGCATCACAACAATCAAGATAACAAACTAGCCATCATCCCCAAAAGTTGTCAGCACTGGATCTGCTTTTGGTCACTACAGATTAATTTATATTTTCCAGAATTTTATGTAAATACATTTATACAGCCATATACTTTTGTCTTTTTCACTCAGCATAATTATTTTGAGATTTATCTATGGCATGTTTATCAATAGTTCGTTTCTTTTTTACTGATAAGTAATATTCCATCACATGAACCTGTTTATCCATTCACTTGCAGATGGTCATTTGAGTTGTTTCCAGTTTTTGTCTATTATAAATAAAGCTGCGACAAACATTCCTATACAAGTCTTTGCATGGACATACACTATTGTTCCTCTTGAGCAAATATTCTATAAGTGGAATGGCGATATTCTATATTTAACTTTTTAAGATAATGCCAAAATGTTTTCCAAAATGGTCGGACCATTTTTTGATTCCTTAAATTTGAGTTAGAGGACTCAACTGTGCATTCCCATTTCCTTTCATTCTTCTAACTTCAATAAAATAAACTTAATGCCCTTCAGCAAAAATTGTATCCATACCATGGTATCATTTCTTTTAAAAAGTATAAAAAGTATAAATCCAGCCAGCTATTCTTCCAAATGACATATAAAAAAAAAAAAAACTATGATAATGGTCACATAATATTAATGATATATCAATATTTCCATCTTAATGTCAGTAATCGATTCCTGATGATCAGGTATATTGTGTGAAAATGTTGAGAAACCATTTCTCACTATAATGCACATATGTCAAGCCTAAACTCCCAATAACTTCCTTAAAATATAATTAAAGTATCATAGTATATCTATAAGTGAATAACAAACAATCATTTTAGGACACAAAATGCTTATAACACTACTTCCAGAGCACAATATATAAATCAAACAGTCCTGTGACTTAAATAATTATAAGCATCTTAAGCACACATTCTAAAATATCACATAAGGCACTGTGCAGCAAAAAGATACTACCTAAGATATCAATATGTCACAAACATAAAATGTGTGGGATTCAGCCCTAGCTGGTGTGGATCAGTGGATAGAAAGTCAGCCTGTGGACTGAAGGGTCCAAGGTTCAATTCCAGTCAAGGGCTCATGCCCAAGTTGCGGGCTTGATCCCCAGTAGGAAGCGTGCAAGAAGCAGCCGATCGATCAATGAATCTCTCTCATCATTGATGTTTCTATCTATTTTTCCCTCTTCCTTCCTCTCTGAAATCAATAAAATATATCTTTTAAAAATGTGTGGGGTATATTGCAGGTGAATTCAATGTGGTATGAATAGTTAAAATTAGAAGCTGTTATTTTGATCTATATTTGTGTTAAGCTATAGTGCCCGAAAAAAAAAAATGATGAAAATATACAAAATCATCTGCTCCAGCAGCACACAGAATAAATGTCTAGCAGCCAGCTGTCCCAGCTCTTTCCCTTGCCTTCTCAACAGGCAATCTGGCACTGCAGGCTTCCTGTTCCTGCACAATTCTCCTCAGCCACCTGTGTGCTAAATAAATGAGGTTAACCATCAAGGCTTGTTTCCTTGCTGGTAACTTTGATTACAGACTTGCTCTGCTCAAACAAAACTAACCATGCCATTTGATGATGCCAGGAATTTACAGAAACACCATATTTTCTGCCATAAATGGCATTATTAGTTATTGCAGTTTACAAATCATCTTTTATATTCATTATCCTCATACAACCTAGTATGAGTAGTATTATATTCATTCCTTGTGTACATACATATATACATACATACATGCACATATAGCTCTTTTGTAACTTAAAAAATGAATTGGCTTTTATAAAGCCAGAGAACTGGCTTAAAATACAAAGAGTAACAAAGATAAGTTGTATTGTATATAATTAGTAAGTATAGATGAAAAAATTTTTTTTAATAAGGGGAGATGAAAAACAGGTAAACTTTGACTCCTTAAAGAGAGAAAAATGTTCACTACTGAGGAAGAAAGGTCCCCAGGATGTGGAAACTAGTAATATTGAATTCAAATTCAAAGACTAGATATTACTATGTAGGGTCAATTTTGATAATCTTGAACTGAGCAAACAGAAGAGGTACAGAAACTATTTGTAATGCATGACAGTAAGAATAGTTCTGCTCCAAGAGTGATAAATTCTTTAAGATACTACAGACTTCGTTAGAAAGATAAGATATACACTAGGAACTTGATAATTAACAAATGAGTGTAAAAATCTCCGGGCTAATTAGACATAGCTTACTTGAGGTATATAGAACCCACTTTGGTTACAGTGCTCCACTCCAACAAATTTAAGAACACCCAAATTTACACAAAGCATTAAGATGAAGGTGATAGTTTGCCTTGAAAGACTTGCATGAGTATTTTTCAAAAGGATGTATTTACTTGCTATTTAAGAAAAATTTCAAATAGGATTCAATTTGAAAAGTGATTTGTATAAAACATATTAAAGGTAAAAATAAAAATAAAAAAGCCTTGCCAAAACCGGTTTGGCTCAGTGGTAGAGCGTCGGTCTGCAGACTGAAAGGTCCCAGGTTCGATTCCGGTCAAGGGCACGTACCTGGGTTTCGGGCACATCCCCAGTAGGGAATGTGCAAGAGGCAGCTGGTCGATGTTTCTATCTCATCGACGTTTCTAGCTCTCTATCTCTCTCCCTTCCTCTCTGTGAAAAATCAATAAAATATATTTAAAAAAAAATAAAAAAAATAAAAAAGCCTCAAGCAATCAGATTTAAAAAAAATATAGAGCTGCCTGAAGAACTAATTGCAAGTCCTCAAATAAGGGCAGAGTGGAAGAGAGTGAAAAGGCAGCCGGGGCCGTGCAGGCCTCTGAGGGCCACTTAGGGAACTCTGGATGTGTGCTATGAAGCCATTATAGATTTTGATCATGGGAATGAGATGACCTTTTAAATCAGGCGTGGGGAACCTTTTTCTGCCAAGGCCCATTTGGATATATGTAACATCATTCCTAGGCCATATAAAAATTATCAACTTAAAAATTAGCCTGCTATATTTGGTCAAACATTTAATTAACTCACCCCTAATGTCTTTGCAAGGCTAGTCCAAATGATTTCATGGGCCTTATATGGCCCACAGCCCAGACATCCTCTCCCCTCCCCCGACCTCCCTTTTAAATTAATCATTCTAGTAATTACAAACAACAATAACAACAACAAAGCACACACACACAAAAAAAAACACAACAAAAGAAAAAAGAGTAAAAAGCTATCTTTTAGAATATTTCTTCTGAAAGATACTTCGAAGTACACAATTATTCTACTTAAACACTTAATTAGGTACACTAGAACAGTAGATACATTTATGTTTCTGTCTATATTTTGAGGACTGAGTCACAGCTACAATAAACCATAGCTTTATCAATCTAAATTTTAGTATTTCATTATAATTCATATAGTAAAGTTTTTGAAAAAAGGTCAAATACTCACCAATGTTTTGGGGTAACTTGGCTCAGACTGATAACTTCATCGAGTATTTCATTTTTAGCTTTTTCAAATAGTTCATTCTAGGCAATACAGACACAAGAAAGTAAGATTTTCAGAAGAGAGTCCATTTGCCCTACCAAGATTTTCAGAAATAACTTAAAAGAAGGCCTCTGGCGGGCTAGTTGGATGAGCTCAGGTTTGAAGCATGCATGACCAGCAAATAATACTCTTCTCTTCTAGTATCTTTTGTAGAAATGCCAATATCCAGATAAGGACAAAGACACTGACACAAATGTCTACCTTATTCACTTAATTCTGAATGCAGTTTTTTACATAATATTTGTTCAGATAAATTTTTCACATACCAAATGTTACATGAAAGTAGTAATACATATTAACTTAGTGTATTAATAATCTGATGCTATTCTACAACAAAAAGCATTTTTAAAATCAAGGAAAACCGCCGAAATCGGTTTGGCTCAGTGGTAGAGCGTCAGTCTGCGGACTGAAAGGTCCCAGGTTCGATTCCGGACAAGGGCATGTACATTGGTTGCAGGCATGTCCCTGGTAGGGGGTGTACAAGAGGCAGCTGGTCGATGTTTCTCTCTCATCAACGTTTCTAGCTTTCTATCCCTCTCCCTTCCTCTCTGTAAAAAATTAATAAAATATATTAAAAAAAATAAAGTAGCACTTTGTTTTAAAAAAAAAAAATAAATAAAATAAAATAAAATAAAGGAAAACCAATATTTAAATCCCATCAATTTAGAGTATATTCTTCAACAGTAAATGTTGAAAAGGTAAAAAAGTTGGTGTATAAGTTTTAAAAGTTTACATTACATAAATACAATTAATTCTATAACACCTTTAAAAAATTCTTCATCTCAGAAAATACTTTTAAATACTTGTTTTGACATTCCATGACCCTAGTTATGTTTTAATGTTATAAAAAATAATTTACATTATTGTAGAAAATAACTGTTCCTAGGAATGCATTCTTACAGCTTTAAATTAGTAATCATGGTAAAAACCAGAGCAAAGTAGCTTACCAGATTTCGCTCATTAAAATATATTTTGTTAGAGTGCAATATTAGATTAGATCAGTGATTTTCAACCTTTTTCATCTCATGGCACACATAAACTAATTACTAAAATTCTGAGGCACACTAAAAAATATATTGTAGTTCTTGCTGATCTGACAAAAAAATAGTTATAATTTTAACTCATTCACATCTGACAGCTATTATGTTGACTGTTGTCATTTTTTTATTTGACCATCTCAGGGAAAAGAGGTCAGTGCCCCCGATTAAATAGCCAGGTACTGCATGTTTCAAAATACCTTGCGGCACACTGTTTGAAAATCGCTGGATTAGATATATGCAAAATACATGATGTGCACAAACATTACCCGGTCAAGTTCTCGCAGGCGAGGATAGTTATTCTTCCACTCAGTTTCAAGGTTGAAACGTGTTGCTGAGGAGGAAGGACAGGTGTTTAAGTTAGAGGACTCTTTCCACAGGCAGCAGCTAAAGGCTGCCATGCATATCTTCTTCAGTAACTGAATTTAAGTGTGCACCTATGCCTCCCGAGTACTCTGGGCTCTCAACATCTCTGACTCTCGTATTGCAAGTTTTCCAAACTAATCTCCTTGACTCTTGTTCCGACATCCAATCCACAAAACATATGACCGAAACAGTTTATAGTACAGTAGCTAAGAGCATGGATTCTGCATTTATACCAAGATTCAAATCCTGGGTCTACAGCTGTATGATGCTGGGTGTACTACTTAGGTAAGGTACTCTGTCCCTCCATTTTCTCTTTTGTAAAATGGGACTAATACTAATACTTACAAAGTTGCTTAGGGATTAAATGGAATAAATAGGATTTCCAAATTAAAAAAAGGAAGAAATGTGTATTTTCACCAAATGAAACTATGGGAGCAAAGCCATGGCACAGGAAAGTATGGAATTCAGGAACTAGCTGAGGCATAGGCTGCTCTGATTCCTAACACACTTCTTTACCCTCACAGCCCCCAAAGGGGCACTTTCACTTCACTGCAGTTTACTAAGCTCTTTCTCCCAAACACTACTGCAAACTTTCTAATCTGTTGAAACTCGCAATGTGCTCCCAGCAATGTTTCCTCTAAGAGGAAACCCCCTGTTCTTGTAATACTAGATGGAAAAAATGGAATTTCCCCCCATTTTCCACACACTATCTAATAGTAAATGTACTGAAAAGCAACTGTTAAAGGGAGTAAAGAACCTCATGGATGCCTAAGATTGTCAGCTAATACAATGTCTAAATGGGCTGCCTTATTTCAAAAACCCAACGTACCTTTAAAACTATCAGCCTGTTGTTCAACTGACTCTCGTACCATTTTCCAGAAGCAGTCTGATACAGCAAGGCTTAAATTCCTTGTAGTCACCTGGTGTGCCTTTAGCATGCTGGCCCTTTTAAAAGTAACAAAAGTTAAAGTATACTACAATAACAAAAGGACGATACCATTACTAAGTTTGAGAATGAGCTTGTTATGATAACCTAATGAAAATAGCTACATATATATTTTTATAGCAACCCTGTCCAATATTTCCTGTGATGAATAAACTACTCTATATCTAAATTAACCAATATGGTAGCTACTATTGGGGTTAAAAAACTTGAGGTTATTGAATCCTTTAAGTATGTGGCTAGTGCAATTAAGAAACCAAGTTTTATTTTTATTTGATGTTGACCATTTTAAATTTAAATAAACACAAGGCTAGTGACTACCATATTGGATAGCACAGTTCTATACACCTGTCAGCTCCTATCCTTTCGGATAATACTCAATATTATATCTATAAAAACTATATTGATTTACTATACTAATAGAAAGGCAAACATACTTTTCCACTTCAAGAGACTCTCTACTTAGAAAGTTTTAATATAACTCAGTTGCTCTTTAGCTCTTCCTTTTTACTTTTCTTTAGTATTATATTTACAGATAATTTCTGTCAATATCTACTAGTATTTAGGGATACCCTTTGACATCTCCAGCCCCACTTCAACTTTCCCCAACCCTGTAAGAGAAATGGATACATGAATTTAAAAATGTAAGTGTTGGTTTTTAAAAATCACTTTATAAGTAACACAACTTCAGGTGTCCATGCTGTCATTCATTGCCCACACCCCAGGGGCAGTTTGCTATGTCAGCATGTATTGCACCATGTGATAAACTGCTCTGAGTTCTGTCAGGGTAGCTGGAGGACTTATTTAGTAGGTACAGATCGCCATCTGGGGAAAATTCTGAAAAGTCAATGTTAAACTAATAATTATAAAGAAACTTTTAAGTGAAAACTACTAGTTCAAGTTACTCCCTCACTATCAAATCTTTAAATGTTTAAACAAGATACCTACTTTAGGAGTTTTGAATTCTGAAAAAATTCTTCTTCATATTCTCTTATTGCTTCTATGCTTTCGGAGCTGTTTCCTAGGGAAAGGTGATGGTGAAGTTCTGAGAAAATGTTTATTACTTGAAAACAACAAGAACTTCAATTACAGTAATCCATCTTTGCATACCTTTTCCTGTTACAACAGCAAAATAACCTAGAGCTTTCATTGGGAAGAGTTTTCCTTCAATTATCTGCTGAATCTATTTTTTAAAGTGAGAAAAATAAATGTGAGATAAAGGTTTACATAATTTTAAAGAGCATTATATACCATTTAGAAAGCAAATTTAATAATGCTATATATGTACAGTTAATTTAAATATGTAAACCTACACAAAAATATTAAAATGTATTTCAATTTCTATTTGAGGAAAAAATAAATACACTTAATTTTAGTAGATTAAAAATGTTCTATTAAAACATAAGTACCAAAATTAAAACTTGGAATAATGTGTAGTGCTTTGAAGTTAGGTCTCTGTTTGAATTTCTTCTCTGCCACTTACTAGCTATGTGGCCTTAAGTATGTTCCAACTTTTTCAAAATGGTTGTTAAAGAAAATTATCCTATACTAGAGACCTGATGCATGAAATTTGTGCAAGAGTAGGCCTTCTTTCCCCTGGCTGCTGGCACCGGCTTCTCTCTGGCACCCGAGACCTAGGCTTTCCTCTGGCGATAATATATTAAGTGTCTAGTTGACTAGTGGGCTAGTCAACCAATCAAAGTGTTATATGTTAATAATATATTAAGAACCGCTCAACTGCTTGCTATGACATGCACTGATCACCAGGGAGCAGACAGTCAACGGGTCGACCAGATGCTATTACACGCATTGACCACCAAGGGGCAGATGCTCTGATCCGGCTGATTGGGACTGAGCCAAATGGGCTGGACATGCCCTGGACTCCTTCTGTGGTCCCTTCCTGGCTGGCCAACCTCCAGTGTCCCTTCTGGCCCTGATCATGTATCCGTGGGGTCCCTTGGCCTGGCCTGCGACCTCTTGCAATTCAGGACCCCTCAGAGGAATGTCGGAGAGCTGGTTTCAGCCCAATCCCACAGGCCAGGCCGAGGGACCCCACTGGTGCATGAACTCGTATACTAGGCCTCTAGTATGTGATAATAATAATACTTAGCATAGTGCCAGGAATGCAGAGATTTAATAAATGGTAGCTGCTATTATTTCCCCATACACTTTTGCAAATATCTAAATTCTAACCAAGTTGGACTGTCTTTTTATACTTTTAAAAAAAACAACAAAAAAACATTTGTATTCATTGGTTCTCAACTCTCTTAGGGTCAAAAATCTTTTTCTAAATGTAAACAAAACTACAGACTCTGGCCCCAGAAAAATGCACATTTGTACAGTGATCCATCATTCACACAGTGTAAAAGAGTTTTACTCCCAGAAGGCCCTCCAGTTGAAGACTTACTGATGTAAGAATCCCTGCTCTAAGATAGGCTAATGCTGACTCTGATATAAAAAAGATGTTAAAAAGAAACATAACAAATTAGATTAATGACAGTATGTCAGATTATAAAATTATTTAAAGTATACAACATTAGCAAACTATAATAATGGAATTTTATTTATACCTTAAAATTATGCTTAAATAATTTACTATAATTTTTCAATACTTTGTTTTTACAGAACACAAAGAGAAATCCCTCTACTACTCTTATGATAAAGTATTCCATAAGGACTTTTTTTTTTCTTCCCCAAACAGTCACTGTCACATCATTATGTTTTCCACACAGAAATAAGATAAAATACAAGTTTTTGTACAAAGAATCTTTTGTCTCATAATAAAGGACTTTCCCTCACCCTGCTTGGGCTAGCCACATTTTTCTCTGCCAGGTCTACTTTGGTCAAAACAAATATCGTCCTTCTTCCATGAGGATCCATTTGACTGACCAAGTCTGTAACAATGCTGCGTTCAGCATCCACAGATCCATCTGAAAAATAAAATAAAAAATGACAATGCAATAATTGCAAAATGGCTTTTAAAAATTTCCACAAGACACTGCTGTGTCTACATTATAGTAAGAAAACTTTTCTTAATACATCTTTGTTATGAAAAGATATTCTAGCAAATAAAAGTTTCTATGATGCCTACAGTAAAATTATTCCCAACTTCAATTCTATTTACTAATAAAACGAATGAAAGAGGGTTATCTTGCATGTTTATGTAAAATGCATATTTAGAGCAAAGCCTGGATTGCTAAAGAAAGCATATGAGTGCAATTAAAATCTTGTGATAGATTTACCTTGAATGCACAGGATGATGGCATTAGGATTCTGCATATAAGCTTTGCTCATACTGAAAATAGTTTCCTTTGTGTCAGGAGCCATGCCTGATGTCACAGTCTTAAAGAGAAAGGTTTAAATGTCATTATAAATGTTTTCCACAAAAGGAATACAACAAAATACAAGTTTTGTATATACTTACATTTATCACACCTGGTAAGTCAACAAGCACCATCCTCTGCAGTCCAGGGCCTTTTACATTTAAGGAAATGGTCTACTCAGGGGACAAAACAAAATAAAAATTGGGGGGAAAGTTTTAGGAACTCTTTGGTGATATATAGTCTGAAAAGTCTGTATCTCAGACATTCAGATATAGTGCTCAGAAAAATGTTCTTTTTCTGATCCTAAGAGTCATTATTCTAAGACAATTTCCCACAAAATGATATATCAGGAATATTAAAAATATTTATGTTATCTTGGAATAGCAATACCAATATTATGATTTATTTCATGTCATGACCATTAGATTCCACAATATATTGGTGAAATGAATTGCAACACTCACCTCAGGGCTAACAGTACAGCCTTCTTTCACATTTTTCCTCATTCGAAGTTCTATTTCATGTCTTAATGCTGCAAGCTATGAACGGAAAACAACCAAGTCCTGAGAAAATCTTCAGTTAACAAATACTCCCTGCAGTTGTCATAAGCTTACGCAGGTTACAAAGTTACACACATGAACTTCACATATACTACTTACATCTTCCTCCTTGGTAAGATCAAATTCTCGAGAACTATCTTTAAACAATGCTACGTGGTGAGGACCTTCACTCAGAGTCACCTGGAATTAATAGAAAACTGAAATGTAATAATGCATTTACAATTCATATTAATTCCCATGGAACTTACATGGTCTAGATAGACAGGGCCCCTAAATCCCACAACTCCAGGTGTCCCTTCATATTACATAATACTCTAAGATCCCTGGGGCCTGTCAGGAGACCACAGAGTTCTTTATCTGTATTGTTCATTCACCTATCACATGTATTGTGATTGCCTAACAAGATCAATAGCTACTTTGTATCTTTCATGATCTAAAATACTACTGTCCTTTTTGTTTCATGTCAATATTATACAGAGTACTGAGCACAAAACCATCAATTTGAAACCTGAAAAACTAAAAGAAAACCTTGCCTTTAACTTCACAGGTAAATTCAGATAAAGGACAATTCACTTATTTAACATCTACTTATTGAGAGCAAACTACATTTAGTGTAGTAGGTAGGTTGGGAAGTATGAAGAATTGACTCTCCCTGTTTGGGCTTCTCAATCCAGTAAAAATTTTACAAAGTTTTAAGCTTTTCTCTCAGGCCACAAATTAGCAAATGCCCTGGGGAAAATACCTGCAGGAATATCCCCCACAAATTCTTTAGGTTGCTCTCTGATGCCTTCAAATAGCTGGTTTTGTTATCTGACCTGTTAATCTAATCTCAGTAGAAGGAATTGTATTTTAAAAGTAAAATTGGAAGCTTGAAAAGTTATTCTTAAAAAGCAAGGAATGTGAAGTTGAGAAGTTGAAACCACTGACTGTTGCCCTATAAGTTGTTAGAGAATTTCTTGCATTTATGGCACTGTTTGGGAAAAGGCTGTCTTAGCTCTTCTTACCACTCTCTTCTTTGATACCCTGCGTTTTTGCTATAATGTCTTGTTATCTCTGCGTGTCACTGTCCCAGTATGTAGAGAGGTCTAAAACAGGGAGAGTCAATTCAACAGAGCAGCCAGAGTGAGACTTTTAAAAAGTATGTTGTTACTTTGCTCAAAACACTGCATTGGCTCCCATTTTATTAAAAACAAAAACTAAATTTTGCATGATAACCTACAAAGCTCTAATAATCTGCTCTCCCTAATATCCCGCTGACCTCATTACCTAGCTACCCTTCACTTTGCTCTAGCCACACTGGCCTTGAACATACTAAGCTCTAACTACCTCAGGAGCCAATGAGGTAACTTTGTGCACTAACTTTCATTCTGCATTAAACACTCTTGAACAGGACACCCACAGAAATCCCTTCCTCACTTTCTGCAAATCTTAACTGTTCAACTGTTACCTTCTCATGCAGACTACCAATACCCTGGTACCACCATTCCCGTTGCCTGACTCCACTGATTTCTTTTGTGCACACTTAACTCCCTCTAACATACTATGTAACTTAGTATGTCTAGTAGAGGCCCGGGGCACAAAATTTGTGTAGGGGGGCGGATCCCTCAGCACCTTCTTCAATCTGGGACCAGTCAGACATCCCTCTTGCAATCCCAGACTGCTGGCTCCTAACCGCTTGCCTGCCTGCCTGATCGTCCCTAACCCCTAATGCTAGTTTGCCTGATTGCTCTTAACTTGCTCCTCTGCTGGCCTGATCACTCCTACCTTGCCCCCCTGGTGGCATGACTGACCCTAACTTGCTCCCCTACCCACCTGATCACCCCTAATTGCCTCTGCCTTGGCCCCCCGCTTAAGCCACAGTCTGATCTCTCTCTGCGGGAGGTGACCTGGCAGATCAGGTGAAGCTACCGCCCCATTACACTGCTTCTGCCACTGACAGCCTGAGCCCGGGCCTTCACAGCTGCTGCGGCTTTGCCTGCAAAGACATCCGAAGGCCATCCAGAAGCGGTCTGCCCTAATTAGTGTATCTGTTATTAGTATAGATTATTTATTCCCTGTCTCTCTATACTAGACTCTATCCCCAGTATGTCAAAGATCTTTATTTTGTTTACCAACACACTGCCTAGAACAGTGCTGGCACATATTAAGCACCTAATGAATATTTTGAGAATGAGACTCTGAAGCCATAGGCTTCCTTCCTGTAACCATGGATGAATTGTCAGTATTTCTATATATGAACAACTTGTACACTGAGTCCCAGTCTCTTACTTCAATAACTTTGCTCCCTCTCTCTTGCATCATTTTTTTCAACCAGATCATTAAAATATCCATATCTATCTATCAACTATGTATGTATGTATGTATGTATCATCTCTCTATCTATAAAAAAGCCTAAGAGATCGGATCAACTGGTATGTATGTATGTATGTATGTATGTATCATCTCTCTCTCTCTATAAAAAAGCCTAAGAGATCGGATCAACTGGTATGTATGTATGTATGTATGTATGTATCATCTCTCTATCTATAAAAAAGCCTAAGAGATCGGATCAACTGGTATGTATGTATGTATGTATGTATGTATGAATCATCTATCTATAAAAAAGCCTAAGAGATCGGAACAACTGGTCTTTATGATGCGCACTGACCACTGGGGGCAGACACTCAATGCAGGAGCTAACTCCTGGTGGTCAGTGTACTCTCACAGCCAACCTCCCTCAGTCCCACCCCCTGACCCCTGGGTTGAGATGGGAAACCAGAGATGGGTGGTGGTGGACGTGGCCCCTGAGAGCTGGCTCCTTCTTCAGGGCAAGCAGCCAACCTCCCGTGACCTGTCCCTCTTGCCACCACCAGGCCCTGATCCTCTCGCTGCCCGCCTGTTGCGGTGGCAGCACAGTGTGAGGGGGGTAGGTGGGGATTACCCAATGGTGGGGTACCGACAATGGCAGAGTTGGGTGTCTGGCGTCTCTGTTCCTTCCACACCCGACCCAGCAACTGCTGCCTCCTCTCTGGCCCCGTCCTGATAGGCCTGGCCCTGATTGGCCCTGATTGCCAGCCAGGCCTAGGGACCCCACCCGTGCACAAATTTCATGCACCAGGCCTCTAGTAGCATATAAATATCTTTAAAACACTCCCTTGACCCAATATATTTCAACTGTTACTGCCCCCTTTTATACTATTTTTACATTAAAGCTAGATAACTATCCTATCTAATAAAAGAGTGATATGTAAATTGACTGTCACTCCAACACACAAGATGGCTGCCACAAGATGGCCAGCAGAGGATGGCAGTTGTGGGGGACCAGGCCTACAGGGGAGGGAAGTTGGGGGGGACCCACCCAGGCCTGCAGGGGAGGGTAGCTGTGGGGGGATCAAGATTGTAGGAAAGGGCAGTGGGGTGAACCAGGCCTGCAGGGGAGGGCAGTTAAGGGAGATCAGGCTGGCAAGGGAGGGCAGTTAGGGATGACTGGGGCAGTTAGGGATGACTGGGCCAGCAAGGGAGCAGTTAGGCGTTGATCAGGCTGGCAGGGGAGTGGTTAAGGGGTGATCAGGCGGGCAGAGAGGTTAGGGGAAATCAGGCAGGAAGGCAGGCGAGCAGTTGGGAACCAGCAGTTCTGGATTGTGAGAGGGATGTCCAACTGCTCATTTAGGTGGAATTGGGCCTAAATGGGCTGTCAGACATCCCTTGAGGGGTACCAGATTGGACAGGGTGTAGGCTGGGCTGAGGGACAACCTTTCTCTCCTCCCCCATGCACGAATTTTGTGCATTGGACCTCTAGTCTATATATATTGACTTCACTTTCAAGATTCTATTCTCTTACTCAGACTAAACTACAAAGCATAATAAGAGGATGGCCTGGCCTCCCACTGCACCAGTGTCCTCTTCTCCCCTTATTCAACTCCTGTTACACTGGCTTCCTGACTGGGCCTCCTACTTATTTTTAATAGGAATAATTCCAAATGCTGTGTCAATTGTTTCTGTAGTTAAAACTCTTCATTTCAACATAATAAACAAGGCTCTAAGGAACTTCATTCAGATGACCTATTTTCTTACCTTAACTGGAGAACGTGTCATCATCTCCCCAGATCCTCGTGGGAATATTCGTGCTTGAGCAATCATTTCCAACACACTAGTTTTTCCAGCACTCTGATCTCCAACTACAACAACCTTATGGCAAAAACAATAACATTTATTTGTTATTCAATACCAATATATACTTAAATAAATTTGAAATGCTGCCAAGATATTTTTTAGTCTTTTCAAGTATCTACAGTTAAATGATTTGAAAAATATCATCCATGAAAAAATTGATAGTTGATATGCGTATGTATACCCTATATGATAGAGGTAAGATGCAAATTGACCATCATACCCTCAAACAAGACGGTCACCCCCACATAGTCACAAGATGATTACCACAAGATGGCAGGCAGGGGAGGGCAGTTGGGGGCAACCAGGCTGGCAGGGGAGGACAGTTGGGGGTAATCAGGCCTGCAGGGGAGGGCAGTTAGGAGTGATCAGGTTGGCAGGGAGCAGTTAGGCTGACAGGGGAATGGTTAGGGGCAATCAGGAAGGTTGGCAGGCGAGCAGTTGGGAGCCAGCAATCCTGGATTGTGAGAGGGATGTCAGATCAGGCCTAAGGAATAACCCCTTTCTCCCCCCCAAAAGCACAAATTGGACCCATTTACTAGTATAGCCAAAATTTTATTAAAAACTTGGGTTAACTTAAACCACTATTTCTAAAACCAGACCATTCAAGTTCTACAAGTCTTTCTTATAGCTAGTTTACTCTTTACAAAGAAAGTTTTAATTTTTTCTGGCTAAATTTCACTCATGTGCTGAATTTAATCCACTGTTCAGTTACTTTAATATAACGAATATTATGAATATGTAATGCCAAATATGTAACAGCCTTTCTTGGTTACAGATAAATGTAAGTCAAGCAATGGATCAAAGTATTCAACTAACATTCAATACTTAAAAATCATCTAGAGCTCATAAAAAAAATCTACACTAATAAAGAAAACATGCAAATTACTGTCACTGCTCTATGCTACCAGCCAATCAGAGTATGCAAATTAACCTAAAAACATTGTGGTAGCCCTGTCCCCGCCGCTCTGGGCCTGTGGAGAAGTCAGGTGCCAACGCCTGAGGCTGGCTGCAGCTCAGGAGATGAAGAAGCCGCCTTCCCTGTGATCCTAGGCAGCAGACAGCAACAGAAGCCTCATGTCCACCTGCCCCACGTCCTGGGGGAGATGGAGACTTCGGGCCCCTGCACCTGACCCTGGCTGCAGCCTGGGAGGAGAGGAAGCCGCCTGCCCCATGATCCCAGGCCGCAGCCAGCTGGAGAAGTCATCCACACTGCATCCCAGGGAAGACGGAGAAGCTTCCTGTCTGCGGTCCAGGCGCCAGCACCTGTGGCTGGCTACAGCCTGGTAGACAGAGAAGCCACCACCCTGAGGTCCTGGGCACCAACTTATGGTTGCAGCCCAGGCGAAGCCACCTTCCCACCATCCCCTGCGGCTGCAGCCGGCCTGGGCGCCTATAACTGACCAGAGGGAGGGAAGCCCGGATCCTGGGTGCCAGTGATTGGCTGGAGGAGGGAATCCTGGCTCCCGGATGTGGGGCTGAGGCAGAGGTTGTTAGGGGCAATCAAGCCAGCAGGGGAGCAGTTAGAGATAATCAGGCTGGCAGCAGAAGCAGTTAGGAACAATCAGGCAGGCAGGCTAGCAGTTAGGAGAGAGCAGTTCTGGATTGTGAGAGGGATGTCCAACTTCAGGTTATCCCCTGAGGGTTCCCACATTGGAGAGGGTGCAGGCCGGGCTGAGGGACACCCTTCCCACTCCCCAGCCCCTCCGTGTTCGAATTTCATGCACTGGGCCACTAGTATTATATAAATAAAAAATACATGTCTCTGGTTTAATCTGTGTGTATATGTAATGTGTTTATGTACACACACATAACTTTTTTAAAACCAAATTTTTGCTAAAGGGCCAGTTCCCTATGTATTAAGTTTTCACTTACCCTTGGCAAATGATCTTGTGTATTATAACTGGCATCATAATCAGATAGAACATCAAGAACTTCAGAATACATGTCAATCAAAGATTTCTATAAAAGTAAAAAAAAAAATATTAAACAGTGAAAACATTTAAAAAAAAAATACCATAGATGTGTCAAGAGGAAAAAAAGCTGATAAATTCATAATGTTTTTCAAAATCATGGTTATGCAAATACATTGTCGTAGTTAAACAGTATAGAATAAAATTTTATTTCTGATCTAATTTATCCATTATTTTATTTAGAGATACACTGATAATTAAAATACATTAATTCAGGATTTCCTAACTTTCTAACTAAATGGAAAAAGAGGGAAGTTGTTAGTTAATATTGAAGATATTTAATATATACTCAACAGAGAAAATCATTAACAGCATAAAGGCCAAATAAGGTGTTAGATGACCAAATGAAAGGAAATTATCTTCTACCAAATTTGGTGTGTGTGTGTGTCAGATATAGAAATAGAGATAGAAATAGATAGGAGGTGGGGGTGGGGGTAAGGCAGGAAAAGAAAGATTGAAAAGAAGATTAAAGTGGAGAAAGAATGACCAAAAAGATGGTTAAATCAGTAAGCATGATAAAGTGTACTGTAACAACTGCACAGCTAATAAGTGAGAGCACCAGGGGCAGACCTGAAAGTGGAAACAGGATCAAACACAGTACTTGACAAATAACAACATTCAAGTAAGTATTTGATGAATAAATTAACAAATACAACTGGCTGGGGAAAAAGGTCTGCTATCAAGCATTTAGTAATTAAAGTAAGTTTTAACACTAAGGTAGAAACAAAATAAGGGCCTACAATTCCCTTCATCTCTTAACACCTAGAAATAATAAATGTGAAGAAACTGCTATCCCTCCACTAAAAAATAAACAAAAAAATTCTTTAAGTTTTCATTGACATCTTATTCTATGACAGAATACACTTTTTCTGACATAAATTTTCAAAATATATTAACACTTGGACGTAACTTTTCTCAACTGCTGTGTGTAATCTGTAAATAAACCATGCTATTTATTTTTTTTTAATGCAATCCTGATTTAGAGTCAGAACTACTAATTCATGTTGCTTAAACTACAATTGCATATCTTTGTACCATGGTACCAAATGTATGTGCCATGACTTATTACAGTTTTGCTACATCCCCTATGAACAAATTCAGTTTATTTATAGGGGATGTAAGTTAGAAGTATTACTTCAATTTAATTTAATACATACAGCTTGGTTTAGTGGAAAATAAATTTTTTGTTTTTTGTTTTTGTTTTTCACTTAATAGAAACATCAATGAGAAAATCATTGATTGGCTGCCTCCTGCATGTACCCTTGATCAGAATCAAACCTGGGACTCTTCACTCTACAGGCCAATGCTCTATCCACTGAGCAAAACCGGCCAGAGCTTAATTTATTGATAATGGTAATTACCAATATGCTGATAACAGTACCAGCATATGCTTTTGCAAAAATTCTTTAAAAAGCCTAAGGAACAATCCAGAAGAAAACGTTAACTTTCTTAAAACTGAAGGAAGTAGCCTAATCATTCACTGAAAACGTAATTAAGGCAATGATGGTAAGTCATTTATAAACATCTTTCAACTTGGAATTCTGGTTTTATAGCTGTAGAAAGGAAATAGGCCTAAAGATATACTAGGTATTTCAGAAAAAAACCTGATTCATGAGAAATGGCTGGTAAAAGTATGAAGATTTAATGGGCATAATTTAAAAAAAATGTCTGGAAACTACAATTTATAAAATGTGCTAATATAGGAAGAGAACTTCCTATCCCTGAAGAATAGCAGATGACAAAGGATAGAACACATTGTGGTTATGGTACCTTACACACAAGTACTGATGAACACAAAAAGTTCTGAGAACCAACAAATTAAGATAAAATTAAAATACCTTAAGCTTTCTATGATGAATGCCTTTGTCATCTTTCTGCAACAATAATTTTCTCAGTTCTTTGTTCTCCTTTTCCAACCGTTCCAAGATTCTCTGGTACTTTAACTGAAACAAAATAATACCATAATTACTTAAGAAAAAGATGGGTTAATAATTAACATTAAGTCTAAATTTAAAAGCTTCTAAAATCCTAAAGTAATATCTACTGACTATTCAAAATAAATTATTTCATTTCAAAAGCTCCTATGAAAATGTTGAGAGAATTATGAAAATCTCAAACAATGTTTCATTATAATTTGACATTTTATTTAGAAAATTCTTTGGTATTTACAATGAAGAAATTAAATTATTTAAAATGTAAGCATTTAAAGCTTTTCCTTAAGTACATTCCATGAAACAATATTTCCTATTATATCAATATTTAAAAAGTCTTCATTATAAGGACAATTTAGCAAAAATTCAAACTCCTCCCATTCCCCATATTATTTTGTGTTTTAATTAAAATATCCTATCCCCATGGTCGGCAAACTGCGGCTCACGAGCCACATGCAGCTCTTTGGCCCCTTGAGTGTGGCTCTTCCACAAAATATTATGGCCTGGGTGAGTCTATTTTGAAGAAGTGGCATTATAAGTTTAAAAAATTTGGCTCTCCAAAGAAATTTCAATCGTTATACTGTTGTACTGATATTTGGCTCTGTTGACTAATGAGTTTGCTGACCACTGTCCTATCCTATATAATAAAAGTCTAATATGCTAAGTGTTCAGTTGTCAGTTCAACCACAAAGCGTAATATGCTAATAATATGCTAAGGATGCTCAACCACTCACTATAATGTGTACTGACCATCAGGGGGCAGATAGTAGACTAGTTAACCAGTCACTATGATGTGCACTGACCACTAGGGGCAGACGCTTTGATCTACAGGTTAGCTTACTGCTGGGGTCCAGATGATTGGGACTGAGATGGGCTGAACATGTGCAGGAGCCCTTCCTCGGTCCCGCCCCGGCTGGCCAACCTCCAACATCCCTCCCAGGCCCTGATTGTGCACTGGTGGGGTCCCTCGGTCTGGCTTGTGCACTCTTGCAACCCAGGACCCCTCAGGGGATGTTGGTTTGAGCCGATCCCACATGCCAGGCCCAGGAACCACACTGGTGCAAGTGCACCAGGCCTCTAGTAAAAAAATAATAGTTAACAGTACCTGAGCATGCATTATGTGATAAGCTCTTTAGTTAATGTTGCACCTGCATTAACTTCGTTAAGCCTTCACATCAGGCAAAGGCTAAACAGATTAGGAATCTGAAATTAGGGATGCTTGGTAGCCTATCAAAGGTCAAAGTTTTGAATATATAAAGGTCTGAGCCAAGGGTTCAAACTCTTCCAACTTCTAAGTTTCTGTGGTCAGAGATACACATTAATTTTTAAAATGCTGATATAAAAATAGATTTTAAGAAAATACATTTAGACGGGTTGCTTTGTCAAGTAAATGCTTGGCTACATACTCTTCTTAAATAAATGTGATTCTTTTCCAATTGGTCCTCTCAGTTTTTATACTATAATTTCTTCTCTGAGCATCAACAAAGTTTGAAAAACTATGAATTATTCCACCCTACAACCAGCAGAATATTTATGTTCAATCTATAATATCATGCCTTTTATAATGGAAAATATCTTTTAGAATATTTTTTTAGGCTGTAGTCAATATTCTAAGAACATAGTAAATAACAGGAACTCATGGTTCTCTCCTCAGAGAATGTCCACAGTAAGCCAAATTAAAAAAAAACCATAATATTTAATTTAACTATGTAGCATGAAACAGGTAGAACTATAGGTTAGATTCCACTATAAACAGTTTTTATAGAATTATTCATTTATATGTAGTAATAGTCTATAATAGTACCCTATATTCCGTGTTTCCCCGAAAATAAGACATCCTCCGAAAATAAGACCTACTTACAGGTTTCCTTCTGAGTGAAATATAAGGCATCTCCCCGAAAATAAGCCCCCCTCTAGGCTAAACATGAGAGATTTGGTCCACTGATTCTGAAAGAAATGGAGTCACAAGAAATTTACCAGGAAATTCAGAATTGGATTGTTATGATGATGTTCCAGAAGATGATGACATGATTGTCATTGAATAAATGAGTAAATTCTTGATACTGTAGGATTCAGTTTGTCTGGTTTTGTTGACAACTACTATACTACCGTACCATATACAGGTAATACATTTCCTTTATTTTCATTTAATAATAAATGTGTACCGTATTCTTCTTCATGGAGAAATAAGACATCCCCTAAAAATAAGACCTAGCGCATCTTTGGGAGCAAAAATTAATATAAGACACTGTCTTATTTTTGGGGAAACAGGGTAATAAAGGCTTAATATGCAAATTGTCCCCTAGGCAGGGAGTTTGACTGCTTGCTATGACGTGCTCTGACCATCAGGGGGTGGCGCTGAACATGGCAGGGATTGGAGACACACTGCTGGTAGAGATGGGCAGTGGAGGCACTGCAGGCCCCAATGGACCCCTGAGGACAGTGGGACCTCAGCGGGATGGTGGAGGTGAGTGGGTGGCACCAGATCAAGGCAGGAGCATACAGAGGCCCAATCGCCCTGCCCATTGCCCTGCAGACAGCGACCAGCCTTTTATTATATAGGATAAGAAGTCCTTGGCTCTTCTCACTCATCAGAATTACCTGGGTATGTAGAAGTTCTTCTTGAAGTTGGTCAACTTTCTCTTTGTCTGTCACCTAAATATTTGAAAGAAAATAATTTTGAGTATAATTAGGTTTATATAGGATGTACTGTAAGTTAAAAAATTTTAAAGTATTTTAAGAGTAAAAACTGATTTTATATGCATAATCAAAGCAATTTAAAATCAAATATTTAAGAAAGTTAAAAACAATTATATTCATCAATAAGAAGAGCTCATTAAATTTCATATTAAAAAGAAACCTTAAAAAGCAATAATTTCCTGTTGCCATTCTAATCATTTCTTATGAATGGCTTGTTAGAAAAATTAAACATATATGGTTATTATGTTCTTCACAGCTTGTTTTGTGCTCAAGCACAGGCACTTGGATGCATGGAGAAATAAAGCATTGACAGCCCTACAGAAATGTGTTTTGGGAAGTCAGATACATGTTATCATTTACAGGTACTAAAAAAGTTCATTGATCATAGTGTATATTTTAAACAAACATTATCCAATTCCATTCTGTAAGTAGGGAAGTATTTAATAATGCAAAGAAAAATTTGCATTTTCAGAACTCTAAGGAGAGCAAGATGATTGTTTTTAAATTTAGTTCTAGTGCAAAATCTAACACTAAATAAAGCAAATGCATCAGTAGCAATGAAGTCAAGTAAAGCAACTAAAATTAATTTGGACATAAAACAAAAGTAGGACAAAATCCACAGGTATTGCAGAAACTATTTCAAATTGTTATTAATATTAATAGTTCTAAAATAAAATATCCAAAAACAACAAAGAACTCTATTGTGTAACAGGCTTTAAAGTTGTCACAATACAATTCTAAATATCAAACACAATGATCAATTTTAATCAAAATGATGTCATTTATGACAAATCCACATAACTGTGCTTTGATCCTTGGTGAGGTACAGAAGTTGTCATTTTCAGGCTTTCAAAATAATTGTCTAATTTCTGATCATCAAAATTTGCAACATGAATTTATTTCATTAGACACAAAAATATGTTTAAAATTCATGTAAATCCTTGTTATTTATTGGCTATTTAAGCAATCAAGACATCATGATAGCAAATGTATATGAAAAAATTTTAAATGATTTGTTCAAGAAGGCATTAATAATTTTCATCCATGCAATAAAGTTAATTTGAGATTTTAATTACTATTCCCAAATACTTTCTCAAAATTTTTCCCAAACATTTCTTTTAAATAAAAATGACACCCAACCAGCATGGCTCAGAGGTTGAGCATGGAACTATGAAACAGGAGGTCATGGCACATGCCTGGGTTGGGGGCTTGATTCCCAGGGGGAGACATGCAGAAGGCAGCCCATTAATGATTCTCTCTGATGTTTCTCTCTCTCTCCCCCTTTCATTTCCTCTCTGAAATCAATAAAAAAACACACATATTTTTTATAAATGTCAATGCTTATTAGAATAGGTACATATTATTTTTTCCTTAAAAGCCTATGCCTAAAAATCTCTTATGTTTTAGTAATTAGAAAAATGATAATATAAAGCAAACTTTACTGTTGTTTTCTCATTCCTATATAGCAGGTAGAGACTTATGGATAGAAACTCTTTTCATTTGACTGTGTGTTTGTGTAGCATGGACAAGAATTATTAATAGCCTCCTAAAATGTGAGGAAACAAGAAAGTTGGAGAGAAACCCATATCCCCAAAAACAAAATACTGAAGACCAAAGGAGAAATAAATAATTTCACATTTCGAACATAAGGCATGCCATCACACTGTAACAATGTGATCATAAAAACATTAAATTTTCAATTCATTTTAAAAGGTACTTAGATTTTGTTTCATTAAATATTCATCCAACTGCAGCTAAATTAGTATGAAATGTACAAACAGTATTAGTATAAACTGTTTTAGTTTGAATGTAAATATTTAATGATTTCATGCAATCTATCCTTATATAATAGAAAATTCAACATTACACAATGGGGCAATAATTAAGAAACCAATACAATTACACCAAAAAGTTATTCTATTTATTATAAGCCAAAAGCTTAAAAGGTTACCTTAGTAATTTGATAAATTAAAAAGGGTATACAAAAAGTTAAAATGATACAAGGTTATTAGAATATTACAAACACAATCATTATGCTAACAGTATTTAGTATCATGACTGTTAAGATTTTTATAAATTCATATTTTTAGGAGAATGTAGATTTATCTTTTGCCCTTTGGCATGATTGTTAGGAATAACTCATGCACCATTTTACCTTCTATCTGCTTAACTTACTGAAACATCAAAATTAATGTTTTATTATAAGACAAGTGATGGTGGAGTCAAGAATTATACCTAATGTTTTCTAGGAAACAAGATAAATAAGTATTCATGAGAAGATACTTATACATATTTTCTTAAGAGACTAGCTATGGTAATTTTTAATTTGTTGCTTATTTAAGGTCTTAACTAGCAATTTGGATATATTTTATTTTGATGAACTTTACTGATAAAAATCAACTCCTTATGACAAGAATAAGTTCTTGTCCTGTTGAATATATTCAGTTTGTTTTATGAAGTTAATTTAGGACTCACCCTGACAGAAATGGGTATCAATGGTCTTGAAACCAGGGCTTTTCTACAATTCCAGGGCTGTGAAACTGATGGAGAAAGAGCGGAATCCTCCGCAGAAACAAGCTAAAGCTGAAAGACAAAAACCTTTACTAGCTCCTCACAAAACCAAGCCTGATTTAAAAATTTTAAGTATTTTTCCCTACTAAGCCATTGTGGCCATTCTGAAATACCAAAACACATATATGAAAGCCTCAAAAACGTCTTTATATGTGTACATATTCATAGGAGGCAAAACTACCAAAGGCAGCTTTAATGTACTATTCCTGCATGAGTTCCTTTGCTCAGGAGATACAAGGGAAATTTTAGAACTGCTACTACTAGCATGATATAAAAAACGAAGCCTTACTTATATTTTCAAGAAGGTAAGGATGAAAGAATTATTAAAAAGCCACAAAAAGCTGTGGTTTTGTACCTCAAGTAAACTTCAAATGCCTGGATGGACAGAAATCTTATAAATTAGGATTCTGACCATTATGGTGAATGGCTGAAAAGTTATCTGTGTACTAACTATAGGGGGAAAGTAGGAAAGATACAGTAAGGAAACTATTTTTCTGGAAAGTAGTTTGATGATGAAGAATGCTCTTACTATAGGAGAATGTAAATGGTTTTAGAGTCCCATGTACTTTTACCCAAGGTAACTTCACAGTGGGCAGGAACAGCCTTGGTTTGGTGATCCACTGTGCAACGTAATAAAACAGAAGAAGGTACAGTCCTATCAGTCACTATTTCACAAACAAGAAAAGTGAGGCATAGAAGTTATTGGATAAACCAATAAATATTTGAAATGGAACATCACTAAGCCTGAAAAATGGCAAGTAGGCCTCAAATGAGCATTAACCTTTGGCAATGTAGAAAATAATCAATACTCACTACTAATAGCTCTTAAATCATCAGATTAAAAAAAATGTTAAACCATATCTTAAAATCTGAAAATGGCAGATCTACAGAACTCATTTCAAGTTATTTTACCATTATAAACTTTTAAGAATAACTTTTAAGTAAACTATACTAATATTTCTAAACAATGTACCAGAACAGAATAACTCCTTCCCCTTCCTTTTGTAACAAAGCTAAGGATCAGCCTTAGCATTCAATTTGTTAGAATATTTAAATGGCACTCTCAATAGCACACAGAACAGAGAATGCTAAAGCACCATTTAAAATAAGTCTTTTTTGCTTAAAAAAATAATTTTTCTTTGTTGTAAGAATTACAGATATTAAAAAAAATAGCATAAGTGTTTCTTTGGTAACATACATGCTTTAACTTAACGAAGTAGAAGAATAATTTACTTTCTATTTTCTACCTATGTTATCCATTCACTAAAAGCTAAACACATACAGTAGTTGATTCCACAGCCATGGAATTGAGAAAAGCCAGGAAGTGACACTGAAAAAATAAACGAAACTATGATAAGTGCTCTTAAGTGTTTAACCACCAACATGAGACAAGGTTAGTCAGCAGAAGCATTGCACTAAAACATTATAATATTGGTTGATTCCAATATCAGAACCTACAAGAAGCTCATTATATGCATGACTTAATCTTTTTTCCTAAGATTTGTATGTAACTTTAAAACTTTTCTGATATGTGACATCTAGCTGATTTCATCAGAATATAATTTTAAATCATTACATTTATTTCATTTTGACTTGAAAATCTTTTTAGGACATTAACCTTGGGATCTACACTGTGGGGTCATCTAACAGTCAAAAGCATATTTTTAAGGACTTCTTGATTGTCTCTGTAATTTATTATTTGTATAGACTCACACTGACTTTTATCAGAATCTGCTCTCTAACGAACAGAAGAATTAGATCTGATTTCTAATGTTCTCTCAGTGGTCCAAGGTAAAACTTACTTATGTTGACTTTATTGATGAATGTGGATAAACTTTATACAATAAGTTTATCAATCTGTATAAGAATAGCTATGCTGCCCTGGCTGGTGTTGCTCAGGGGTTAGAACACTGGCCTTCCCACCAAAGGGGCCAGGGCCCCTGTTGGGTGCATGCAGGAGGCAACCAATTGATGCGTGTCTCTGACATGCTGTTTCTCTCTTCCTCTCTCCCACTCCCTCCTGTACTTCCATTCTAAGAATCAATGGAAAAAGTAATAACCTTTGGTGAGGATTAACACCTCCCCTCCAAAATAAAAAAGAATAACTATGCCTGAAAATTAAATCAAAATTGTTTTCTTCTATAAAATATAAAGCCATTCTCCACTTCACCTAAAACAAATACATTTCAATCTTTAAATAACTAAACATAGTCATTCATAGTAATCTTTTTCATTTTAGTAATAAAAGCTTGGTTGGAGAATAATTAAGTAGACAAGTTAGCTAAGAATTTAGGATGACTAAATAACTGAACCATAATTCATTATTCTTCCCTAAATACTAATCCAAGAAACCCTCACAGTTAATATAATTTTTAGAAAATATG